TCTGGGCAAAAGCATGGCCATAAGCCATGCTTTGAGTTATGCCTATCCAGGGGATTTAATTCTGTTGGTGTTCCATAGGTTGGTTGCTATAGGTTCAGTGAATGCTACTCTTTGCCTTSCAATGTTTAGGTGCAATGCACAAAACATAGCCGTTACTCACTGGGAAATTACAAAAATCGGAAAAAGTCATCTTTTGTACCATGGTACACCCATCCTGGAGACACCATCCTACCTAATGTTTAGAGCTCATTTGAGGGCCCTGGAGAGGAGAGGCTGAAATGGCAGGAGGTGAATAATAATTTTTGAACTCTGACATATTAAGATGATCACAACATGTGTAGACACAGGAGGTCTCACTGTAATACCTTGTTAATGTCTTCARAGCTTTTCAGAGACCTTTATGGAGTTATTCTACATGAAAAAATTAACTCTAATCGGTWCATTCAATAACTAGATCCAACATGCAGAATAAAAGAGCCCTTGGGAGCAGGGTTAAGCTCTAATCTGCTTCTTTTTCCACTTCGTTGTGGAAGCAGGGTGTGGCAGAGAAGGGGTTGGCCAGCATGAAGCCTCTGCTCTCACATGGTTGATCCTGTGTCACGTATGATGTGTGTGTGTCACAACAGCTAGCAGAGAGGCTGGGGAGGCTCTGGCTCCATATTATCCTTTCCACTCAGAYAGGACATTTCTGCTGGAAGCACAAAAAGGAGCACAAAGCTTGCAAAGGTGTTCAGCATTGCTGACTCTCAGGGAACCCTACTTTGGTGTTGGAAAAGAAAGAAAATACAATACTCTCTGTGTATGCAATCATATCACACACTACTTCTGCACAAGGATGGGAAGGAAATGAAATGATACACAGGGGAGGCAGATCTGATTACTGAAAATTATATATACACTCCTGAGGTGAGCAGTCTTGATCTAATTTGCAGGTAAATTAATGATTAACAAAGAAGCATGATCTATTAAAAATAAATTTTAGCGACATACATATGCAGCCTATTATGCTGATTTTTTCATTTAAATCTTCTAGTTCAATTCTTTTCTGTGTCTCTTCACTGTGAGATGAACTGATGGAGAAACAGCAGAGTTATAAAAATGAGTTAGCAAAGATGAAGAGACAAAATTGTCACAGTACAAGAACAAACCAAATTATCTATACCAAAGTTAAAACAGAAAATAGAAACTTCATTTTTTTCATTCAGCACACAAATTAATTCCCTCAGCATAACCACAAGTTGTTGCAGAGGCTACAGGCAGGAAGGGAATGCCACGGAGGACAGAATAAATAATTAGTAGAGTGGGATTCACTGATGACAATGACTGTGTGTGGCTGTGGAAATCTCTAAAATGCTGACTACCAGGGTGAAGACACAGCAGGTAAGAAGCAATTTTTTTCTGCCTTGTGTGCTGAAGCATGGCTACACCTGCCAGGAGCAGGGCTGGGGCCTCTCAGAGCAGCTTTGGCTGAGGCTCTGGCAGTCGTGGCAGTGCAGTAGGAGGGAATGACAGCTACAGCAATCTCGAGTCAGAGATTTCACAACRCTGTGGAAATACACCTCTTCATAGGCATCCACCACTCTGGCCCACATCCAAGAGATGATTCAGTGTTAGGCAATCCTGCAGATACCAGTTGAGATGCCTAAAATCTGATTTTCTTTTACATTTACCTTCATTAAAAAATCTTTTCAATAAATTTGCTTTCTTTCACATTTGCTAAAGGGATACTACTTTTCTTTCCAAAGCAATTATTTTAGAAATATGGTCTATTGCTAAAAAAAAGGGGGGTGGGGGGTGAGGAGTATCTTTGTTGATACATCCTTGTGTGGCTTTGTTCTGGGTACTTCCTGTAGTGAGAGACTTGWCTTATTGCAAGCAGAAGGGAACACAGAAATATTTGCCATTTATGTATATATGCACATGTGTAAATGTTGTGTAGCCTGACTTGCCTTAGCTATCTGGAAGCAATAACTTGTGTCACCAAAGAGTCTCCAGAGAAACAATCCGTGTGCCAACACTGGACTTTATTATAATGCAGAACAAAAACCACACAGGCAGGAAACCATAAAACCCCTCAAGTCAACTGAAGCCAACGGCCAAGGGGCCTGGAGTGGCAGCAGGCACCGGAGCCAGGCACAGGGAGGGATGCAGTCCCAAGCCTGGTGCTTGCCAGTGGCTGTAGCTGGATGTTGTTGCCTGTCCCATCACCATCCCTGGCCGTTTTCTCCGCTGATTTTGACCAGTGTCCGGACCCAAGAGGAAGTTATCACTAACCACATTGCCCGGACACCGCAAGGTGCCCGGCCAGGGGGGTCTGGGCACACCCCTCTGGAGCGCTGCCTATCCGCCCCCACCGCACCGCCCAGCGGGGATGCTGTGGGGGACACAGGAGGCCACCGGCAGCGACATCGGTTTTGCAAGTGGCCCYGGACAGGAAAGGCGTTGTATGCAAAGGAGGTAACCGGGAAAACTCGCAGGCAATGAGCGGCGTGGAGCTGCTGCTGGGGTTTTTGTAAGGCAAATACAACGCAGGAATTCACGGGGATAAGGCAGAGCAAACATTAACCTCCTGCGCCGGTGGCTACCGCGGCTCTTTTCGTTTGCTGCTCCTTTTTCATGGAAAAAGAGTTCGTGGCTCAAAGCCAGCTGTAAATTAACAGCTAAGTGAAACCATTATGTCAGTGGGATGCTTTAATCGGTTTACAAAACACTGATCGAGGTACGATGCATATTCGTAGGCAGGAAGGGAATGCAGGCGGGTACTTGGGGTCGAAACCCAGCGGGGTCAGGGGTCTCGGCCCCGGACGGGTCCGCCCCCCGTGTGGCGGCCAGCTGGAAGCTGGGGACAAGGACCGAGCCCCGAGCCCCCCAGACGGCCGCCCCGAGCACCCCCACGGCTGACGGCCGGGCGTTTGCAAACGCTTCGCCTCAGGAAGTGTTCATTAAAGTGCCCCGGAGAAACTGTTTCGGATGAGGGGGTGGGCGGCGAGGCCCCACTGCCGCTCGCTCGTTCGCTCCGGCGGTTCCCACCCGAAACGCCACGGCAGAGAGGAAAAAAAGAGGGGAATACAGGAAAAGAATCTCAAGCTCGTTCGCTCCAGCGGTTCCCACCCGAAACGCCACGGCAGAGAGGAAAACAGGAGGGAATACAGGAAAAGAATCTTAAGCCGCGGTGGGCCAGGGCGAGCTGCCCCGGGAGGCGAGGCTCCGCCAGGGGCTGGAAGATAGTGATTCCCTCAGCCTACAGCGGCCGAGCCCGGGCCCCACAGCCCCCAGCGCTGCCCGGCGGCCGTCGCCACACCCCGGCCCCGGCCAGGCCCCAGCCCCGGTGGGCGGTTCGGCAGCGCGGCCATCCCTCCCGCCCTGGCCCCTCCCGGCGGAGCCGCCGCCGTCCGGAGAGACGAGACACGCCTGCCCCGAGGGGCTGGGGGCGTAGCAATAACGACAAGAGCAGCCCAGTGTTAGGGTTCAGTTCCAGCTGATTTTATTTCCTTCCCGAAGAAAAAAAA